ATTGCACCGTATGTCACCACAGCCCAAAAATGCTTTCTTATTAGAAGGCTGTAAAAGAAACTGTAGTAAAATGTTTTATTACGTGCTTACTGAGTAGATGGTGGAGATGAGCTCAAGATCAGGCCTCAGTTTCCATGCATTTGGTCCCAAAGAGGAAACTACTGAACTTTGAATGGTCCCAAAGAGGCAAAAGAAACACACTATGGCCATCTCTGAAGGGTACTCTTCTAAAATTGCTGCCTTCAAGCATAATTTGACGGAAAAGCAGTTTAAATTTCAGCAAGGCAATCAATGTAAACAACAACCACGCATTTTGAGCCTATTAAATTCTATATTACCTGAAAGTAGTAAATATTGAAACGCATAAATCAGCAGTTACAAGGAAGAGACCTCTTATGACCCAAGAACTTATTGTTGACATGATGGAAGGGGTTGGCTCAGGATTTGATTGGGTAGTTATGGCACCTACTGCAGGGCCCTTGTATAAGCTTATAGTCAATGCTCCTGAAATTGATACCAGTGTGCATATGATTTTGATCTGACTTCTTGAGCTTCTCCAATCTAACTTTTCCATCCTGAATGTGAAGGGCTAAAATTTGTAAGAGAAACACCCCTTCTCTCACAACATGCTTAGTAGATGAGTTTAGTGTCCACAATTGAACGTCAGATTGTAGAGGGGAACAACCCACCTCTTTTTTTTTGCATTGACACATATAGTGATTTTCTTTATTTAGATTACCTCTTCCTATCTGGGGTGTTAAAAAAAAAGAGAAAAAGAGAAGAACCTGAAGATAACAGCAAGCAAGAACATGAAGGCAGGGATTAAATGGCTCATAGAAGAAGCAAGAGTAGGAGAACTGTAGCTTACACCAGTGAACATACAATGTTGCATCAAAGTATTCCTACACAATCATAACACAACACACAATGAAGAGTTCCTGCAAAGAAAAAGCAAACCCGCTGTCAAAATCATTTAAAAGAAGCTCTTTCTTGGATGATATGACCTTAATAATAGTCTCCAAGATCAATATAGTCTTGCCCAATTTTCAATAACTGCCCAAGCAAATAAAGCATTAATAATAGCAAAGAAGCCTTTTGATTTCTTTACATGAGCTCACTTACTGTTAATGTGTTTTTTAACTGTACAGAAAGGCTAATTCATCCTAATCCTAGCTAATAGTAGCTATTAAAGAGAAAAAGTGGAACCACATTATAAAAAACACTAAAACAAAATAATTTTTTTATTATTCATAGCACTATTCACATACTCATAAATCAGACTCATAAATCATTATTCCTTTCACCATTTATGATAATTTTTATAACACTTTGGTCCTCAATTTTGGTATATATATATATATATATTTCAAACTTTAATTGTATTGTAATTTGATCACATTTTGCTTTAGTATTTTTTGTTAATTATTTTTATTATTTAGGATTTCCTACTTTAATTTATCATTTTTTTAAATTCTTTTTTTTTTTTTTAAATTTCAACCTTTAATTATATTGTGATCTTGTCTCATTTTGTTTTAGCGTTTTTTGTTAGTTATTTTTATTATTTAAAATTTACTACTTTAATTTGTCATTTTAAAAAAATTCTCATCCAATTAATTTAAAATTATATGGTCCTCAATTTTTCTATACATTTTTTTTTCAATTTCAAACTTTAATTGTATTGTGATTTGGTCCCATTTTGTTTTAGTGTTTTTTTTTTTTAAATTCTCATCCAATTAATTTAAAATTATATTTACTAACAGTTTTGATTTATTTTTCTATATATATGGATTTTGGAATAAATTTTTAGAACATGATTATTTTTTCTGTTGAAAAACAAATTTAGATAATTTTTAAATTATAGTGGCATGATTAATATATATAATTTATCTGAAATACTTTTTTAGTCTTCAATTTTTCTATACTTTTTTTTTCAGTTTCAAACTTTAATTATATTATGATTCTATCCCATTTTATTTTAGTATTTTTTATTAATTATTTTTATTATTTAAAATTTAATACTTTAATTAATTTATTTTTTTTAAATTCTCATCCAATTAATTTAAAATTATATGGTCCTCAATTTTTTTATATATTTTTTTTCAATTTCAAACTTTAATTGTATGGTGATTTGGTCACATTTTGTTTTAGTATTTTTTTTAATTATTTTTATTATTTAAAATTTACTATTTTAATTTGTCATTGTTTTTAAACTCCTATCCAATTAATTTAAAATTATATTTTCTGATAATTTTGATTTATTTTTCTATATGTATGAATTTTGGAATAAATTTTTAGAACATAATTATTTTTTTTGTTGAAAAAAAAATTTAGATAATTTTTAAATTATAGTGGCATGATTAATATATATAATTTATTTGAAATAATTTTTTAGTCTTCAATTTTTCTATACTTTTTTTTTCAATTTCAAACTTTAATTATATTATGATTCGATCCCATTTTATTTTAGTATTTTTTTATTAATTATTTTTATTATTTAAAATTTAATACTTTAATTTATTATTATTATTTTTAAATTCTCATCCAATTAATTTAAAATTATATGGTCCTCAATTTTTTTATACATTTTTTTTTCAATTTCAAACTTTAATTGTATGGTGATTTAGTCCCATTTTGTTTTAGTATTTTTTGTTAATTATTTTTATTATTTAAAATTTACTATTTTAATTTGTCATTTTTTTAAACTCCTATCCAATTAATTTAAAATTATATTTTCTGATAATTTTGATTTATTTTTCTATATTTATGGATTTTCGAATAAATATTTAGAACATGATTATTTTTTCTTTTGAAAAATAGATTTAAATAATTTTTAAATTATAGTGGCATGATATATATATATTTGAAATAATTTTTTAGATTAAAATTGTATTTCAAATAATTTTTCTCTATTTTTTAGAAAAAATCTCAAATTAGTTAATTAATAGTTGAAAGTTAAATGTGAAAAATAAAAAGAAGATGGTTACTCTATGCGTGAGGCCCGTATTCAAGGGCTAGATATGCATAGCATAGAAATAAAAAATTATTTAAGATGGAGGGAAAAAAAAGAAAAGAATTCACATGTTTTATTAATTTGTTTCTTCTTTATATAATCAAAATTAAACGAAATCAAATTTGTAATAATTTTTATTGTAGTCTATTAACTTCAAGTTTAGTCAATAGATCCCTTGCAAGTAAATTTTTTTTTTTTTATAGTGTTTTTTGATTTAGACTGAAAGCTTTGAACTCTCTTAGTATAGTTATGATGTGTAAAAAAATATTGATTAGTTTTTTTTTTAAGAAATTAATCGTGCAACTACTACTACGCTAAGCATTTACTATTTATTTATTTATTTTTGAATATTTTAAAATTAACTTATTTTAAATTAAATAATTAAAATTATGTTTTGGCTTAACCACTCAATGATTTAAATTAATATAGTTTTTTATTTTAATCTCATTCATTCTTTTATAAATAAATATATAAAAATTAAATTCATATTTTTTCAAAAATTCAAAATTAAATGAAAAAAAATCATTTGTTCAATTCTATGTAAGCTTTTAATAATTGTTATTGTTGTTTTTATGACACAATCTTATGAAATACTAAAGTTTTTTTTAAAAAAAATTTAATTTTTTTTAGTTAATAATCCATGAATTAACAAAGAGAAATCCTTTTTCTAAAGAAAACATTATGAAAAATATAAATAAGAATTAGTTAAATATAAAATTTTTGATTTCATCTTTGATTTTATATATTTTTATAAATTTATATTATAAAATAGACTATCAAACTGAAATAATTTTACATAATTTACTTGATTCGGAGCAGGCGCAGGTTAAAAACAACTAGTAAAAAAGAAACCAAAAACGTCCATCCAGACTGGAATCTGCATCTCCTGTTACTGGTTTGGCTAATCATGTCTGCCTCCTTTTTTCAATTATGGGCTACACAGGTCAGGCTAGCCTTCAGGCCCTTGTGTGCAGGCCTGAAGTGAGTTTTGGCCCAACTTTCTTTCTTTTATTTATTTTTTATTTTTTTCGTAAGCTTTTTTTTTAAAAAAAAACTCAAAAATCAAATTTCTTCAATAATTAATGGTTATTTTTATTTCCATACAACCTTAAAAAAAATAATGATTGTTCATAATTTAGCCTTTTTTGTTTGTTTTTCAAAAATTATTATCAGAAGTGCAATTTGCTATTATCAAAGATATTTATTTTCCATCACAACCAAATAACATTCAACTATAAAAGAAGATCCCACAACAATGCCTGCCCTAGTTCTATTTGTGAGAACCTTTCCAACTAGACCTCATTGACAGATTTCCAAGGAAGCATTCAAACTTCTCACAGCCCACTTTCACTTTTATCCCCTCTTCCTCCTCAGTAATGATAAAATTATCTAATCCACCTGACAATATTTTCTTCCATTATAAAACAAAGCATGATTGAAGACATAAAATAAAAAAATAAAAAAATAAATGATACAGGAATGGAAACAAAATCCACCAAATCTAAATATGTTGTAGATAAAGGTATAAGAAGAAAAGAACTATCTAAACCTAGGATTGAAATTGAAGAGACAGCAGTTCGAAAAGTAGAAAACAAGATGTGGTTGTTGTACAGGCCAAAGAGAAAACTCCACATGAAAGAAAGAGAAAATATGAAATTCTATGAATTCCATGAAATTATAATATGAAATATCTAATTTTTGATTTGTCATGTTAACATGGATTGAAAATCCATGAAACATATAATATATCGAAATTCATAAAGGGGGCCTAAAATCCTAACCTAAGCCCATGGGCTTGACCCATAAATGAAGCCCGATTATACTTCCTAGACCCAAGTCATTAACCAACAACCGCATTTTGAATTTAATGTCGTACGGTGTTCGAATTTCAGATTTGTTTCCTTCTTGTTCTGTCTGGTCCACTTATTCTTTCTCCACCCGGAAAACAAAGTGCAGTGAAAAGAAATAGAGAGAAAGAGAGAGCAAGTTAATGGAGAAGATGGGTGCGGCAGAACCCAACTTTGAACTATTTGAGGAGAAGAAGCGCGTTAGGAACCCCCTCGTTCCCGTCGGTAAATATTATATCAGTCGTCCCTATTTCTTTTCTTTTTAATTTATATGCATATATCATGTGATGCTGGAGCTTCCATTTGTTGCTTTGCTACATATTAGTGAAAATTGTTTTATCATTTTTGTGGAATCATATGCTCAATTAATTTTGTTAGGAATTTGATTCTATTGATTAGGGTTTTAAGTTTTGAAGAAAAGAATCAAACATTCTATGATTTACCCTTCTGTTTGGCTGGCTTAGAAACGGGAATTGAATTCTAATTCTGATTCCATATACAATAAACATTTTATTTGTTTTTTTCTTCTTTTTCCAAAATTAAATTTGCTTCTAATGCTGTTTTAGTACCACCAAGAAAATGGAATAATTTATCTCACCCAAAAGTATAGTATCTCATTCTACTACCTAAACAAAGGTATTGTAGCTTGTTTCTTTGGTAATGGCAATCCATGTTTTAATGAATCAAATTACATTACACAAGAAATGGAATTAGAATCTGTTTCCATTCCAAATCGTTGTGCAAAACAAGCATGGCCTTCAAGGATTTGTTTTCTCTTCCTCCTGCTTTAAATGGAGGGATGTTGGTGGCAATTTGGTTTCCTACTGGTTTTTTTTCCCTGGATGTTCAGGGCATTGCTTGTAGGAAGCAGGATTAAATTCATATATTTGCAGGAATGGAATGGAATGGAATGTAAATTGTTGGTTTTTGGTTCCATGCCACAAATACTAGTATGTTGGTGCATAAATTCTGGGTATGACATATTTACCTTCAACAACTATCATCTTTCATTTTTCCTACTGGTTTATCTTGAGCAGATCCCACTTTTCAAAAGTTCCTTAATTTGTTTAAGGGTCTAGGCATCTTGCTTTGTGTTTGGTGTTTAAATGGATGGTTTATATTACTGTTAGCTTCTTATTTTAAACTTTTGAGCTCTTGAAATTCATATTGGCCATCATAAATTCCAAAATTAGTAGTGGTATTTGCACATGATAGAACTGGGACTCATCTCTAGACTGTCCTGTATTTAGCTTCAGTTTGATTTGTTGTTTATAAATATTGCAGGCGCACTCATGACAGCAGGAGTTCTCACAGCTGGCTTAATCAGTTTCAGACAAGGCAATTCTCAATTGGGTCAGGTGTTAATGAGAGCTCGGGTGGTTGTCCAAGGGGCTACTGTGGCACTTATGGTTGGCACTGCTTTCTACTATGGGGATAACCCATGGAAAAAACCAAGTTAGAAAATTTATAGTATGGTTTCTTGTGATGGATACTTTGGTTGCTGCAGGGTGTCCTCCTTAGTGACATAAGCTGTTCTTTTTCTATGCTGATTTTATTCAATAAATCATTCACAATTCATATATTCTCCTTGCTGGTAGCATCCTTCTTGTGCATGATCGAGTTCCTATGTAAACTGAGATTAGTAGAACATGGATGGAGTGAGAAATATTTGTCTTAGAACTTAAAGAAGGGATAACATTTACCTCAAAACAAATAATCTTGTTAAGAATATCAATATAATCAATGTATGTTTATAACCCATTATACTATCGATGATGAATTATATATTACTGCTACATTGTTTGTCTAGAAATAGCTTTTTCATTGCTTCGTAGTTTTTGTTAAGAACTCAAAGTATTGCAGCTAGCATAAATGATTCTGTCTCCGAATAAAATTTCTCAGCTTAAGAGAGGCAGGAAGCTTTGGGCAGGATGTGAATTTGCATAGCTTTATTCCCTGGTTGGACAATGGTCCATTCTGCTTTATGTGCATAACACTCCTTCAAGCTGAGAGCCTGAAAGGGTTGTATTTTTTTATCAAATCACTCGGAAGATGCTCTTAAAAGTCCAGATAGCGTGCATTTCCAACAGCTCACCCTTGTTGGTGTACTGCTGGCCCCTTATGGCATGCCCTAACTCTTGTTCGGTTACATTATGCCAATTCTAAGATATCCTACACCAGCAGCTGCAATCATTTTACTGGCATCCAAGACTCTGATTTTCACGTCCTGACACATTGTGAAGAATTTATTTAAGAAGTGAAAGATTAAGCTGACTTAAGAAGTGATGTGATCATTTTTTTCTAATTTTCAGATTAAGACAAGCATGTTGGGGTTGTGTCAAAATGAAATTCTCTTCTGATAAATAAGTTGGTTTTTAGACAAATTTTTTTTTTTTTTGATAAACGAGTTGGTCTTTAAATGAATTTTATATCAATATGCATGGTTTGAATCTTAAAATGGATTAAAATTTATTGTTTTTGTCTTGAACATGATTAAATCTTGAAAGAAATTAAACTTTTTGGTTTTAGTTTTGAATAGAATTAGTCATATTTATAATGTGAGACGAAAATATTATGAATGAGAAAACTATATATATATATATATATATATATATATATATATATATATATATATATATATATATATATATATATATATATATATTAGGCAAAATAATGATAATAATACTAACTTATTTTGAGTATGGATGGATAGAATTGTACAAATTTTCAAGCAATGGGACATAAAAATGTTTATATATTTGAATATGTTTTTTAAGAATAGGTTCCTGATTCAGTATAGTGGCTGCCAATCTAATGTGTGAGAATAAGAATGCAATTTTTTTTTAATATTATATTTGGAGAAGCATAAAATTATAAAAGAAACCGTTGTCTTGCGCTCCATCCTTAGAGGCGGACTACTTGCGCCACCAATTACCCAAATGCCTCTTCAAAATACAAAAACCATTTATTTATTTTATTTCACCTTTGTATTAAAGGCAAACATGATATATACTTCCGCTGAGTTTTGACAGAATTTATTTGTTTTAATAGTACGTGTACAAAAAAAAAAAAAAAGGTTTAAGAATAACAAGTTGCCAAGAATTTTTTTTTTGTAAACAATTCTCATATATATATATTTTTTTCAATTTATTAGGGTGAGTTTATAATTCCAAGAAATAAATCCTTCTATTACAAAACATCTTCCTAATAGGAAGAAAAAAAAAAAGAAAGAGAGAAAAATGGAAGGCCACGTTGTGGATTTGTACGTATATTATTTTAAACACGTGCATGTGAAATTCTGGAAACTCAATTCACCCCTACACTCTCTCCTTTTTCCTCTCCTTATATATCTCTCCTGCCTTGCCTCTCTCACGCTTTCCTTTGCTATCTTCTCTTCTCTTCTCTACAATTTTTCCTGTTTGGTTTCTCGTGATCAGAAATCCAGCACCAACCCACTGAAGGATTGTCACCATATTCTCGGAAAACTGATTTGCAAATGTAAGATGCTACAAGTTTTTATCTTTATTTTCTGTCTAACCAATATTCAGACAGCACAACAACACACCCATTATTTATGTACTCTAGTATTTTTTTTTTTTTTGTTGCATATGTGACTTGTTAGATCTTAGATTCTTAGATTTTAGTTTATAAAAGTTAGATCCTTGAAACTTTGTTACAATTTGGAATTATAAATTTTGTGCCGGTTACTCGTTTTAATTGATCCTCACCATGTTTTTAACTTTACCTATCTTCTTTCGATGGAAAATAAGAGAGAATTTAGGATTTTGTGCCTCTTCGAAATTGAAAATTGGTTCGCTTGTTAAACATTTGTAAATGTTTTGGCCCAATAGTTGAATGAATGGTATATTAGGATCATATGTAGACTTGCATTGCCAAATGACTACTTGTTTGTGCTTAGTTTAATTAGATACTATGTGAAGAATACTTGCGATCTCCAAGTGTTCTTGAACTTTCGGATGATTATTATAAATGTTTGGTAGAAATACTAAACCTTTGTTAATTTCACACTATAATTAAACAATGTAGTGTTTAAGAGCATGTGTGACAAACTCTTGCTCTGAATTACATGGTTCTTTTCTAAAGTCTTTAGGCTTAATCAATGATCAAGTCAACTAACCATAGGTCATAAAAGGCCCATTTAGAAGGACAGTGGAGCGACTTAAGCTTTAGACAAAGACTTCATCCGACATTCTGTTCTTTTCATTCTTGTCTTTCGCATAGCCGGATTAAACAATTTTGGTTTTGATTTTCTAGCATTAGTTAATTGTACCAAGAAGTTTCGTTATGACATCTCAGGCAGGTGTACATGTATGTTTAAAGCCATTATACTATAATTGATGAAGGCTATGATTATTTAGTCTATTTAGGCACAAGGCATTGTTGTCCTTTGCAGGGCAATTGATTTTTTCTTCTCCTTTGAGGATATTTCTGAAGGTATTTTTGGCTTAACAAATGGATAGTTGAACTTTGAATATGTGGACATATGTCATGTTAGATGTATTGATTTACTGATTTTGTACTTTCCTCACAGATTTGCTTGTACCCTGTGCATAATTTGGAAACTAAGCAGTATTAGATATTTCTGATTCTGTGGTTTTCTTCATCTCTACCTCAGGTTACAAAATCTCATAGGTTATTGCAAGTACGGTATGTGCTTACGTTTGTATCTTGTGCTGCTTGTATGTTGGACCACAAGCAGTTGAAACAAAGTTGATTACTTTGATTTTACTTCTCTTAAGTTAAAAGCAAACTATTTCATGCTTCTATAGCAGGTTCGGGAGTTCTATTTTGTACAGATTAGAATGTCTTCACCAAGCAAGAGGAGAGAGATGGATGTCATGAAGTTGTAAGTTTGTTGCTGTCATGTATACATGCATATGAAATAACAATCATTTCTTTTATATTTCTGTCTACATATAGTTAAGATAGACTGACTATTATTTTGACTGACTTAAAATGGAATCAAAGGCATGTTTCAATGAGCTTTGGATGGATTTTATACTTTTCTGAGAGGTGTAATTGAATTTTAGGGAAGACGTCAGTGACTGTGGCACCCAAGGCGAATGCCTCCCTACTTTCTAGGAAAATATAAACATTTTCATATTGTAATCTGTATGGTTTTATCTTAATCAGGTTGGCCATGATTTTTAGTGTTATGAGGGGAGCAAAATATGGCTGGAATATAGCAGGGTTTATGGTTAAACTAATGGAGAAAAGATGTAGGTTTAACTCAGGCTTTGCCATACCATTGGCTTCAGTAGAACTGATTAAGGTTTGTGAATGGGAAAAAGCTCTGCAGTTTAACACAGGGATTAATTTGGTTGGTCCATGGTGTCTTTAACCTTAGATGATATAAGATCCCTACTATTAATTACCATGTTAAAGTTGCATTTATATTTGGTATTCCTGATGATTATCTGTCTTTTTTGGCAAAAAATATTTTCAAACTACAGCCTTTTTATTTGACCAGTATAGTCTATACAGAATAAGTGCAATTGTGTTGATTTGCAATTGCTGCAATACTTTCTGAAGTTATGCATAATTATTTCTTTGTGACTTGTTTTAACTATTGGATTCATGCTGTGCAGGATGATGAGTGATTACAATGTGGAGACTATAAATGATGGACTGAATGAATTTAATGTGGAGTTTCATGGTCCTAAAGAAAGTATTATCTCTTCTCTTTTGGTGTCTCTTTCTCCAATTTGATATATTAGCTTTTCTTTTTGTCTATCTACTTGGTACGTGGTGCTTTAAAAATTTTACGATTGGGTGTAGTGCATGTACAAGCATACTGGTGAAAATTTATGAATGAACTCCAGAACATCATTGATTACAAAATAGTTTCTTGGTTTGCTGTATGGGTTATTTGATTCCAATAGTCAAATGGAAACGACAATTGTTTTCATTTTCTGTTCAAATGGATCTCTGGCATCTTTCATTTACTGTTTGCCATGTTTAAGTCCATTTAGTTTTCATAAACACTTCAATTTGGAGCTAGAGGAGTTTCTTCCATTGTTATTTTTGAATTAGAAAACTATGAAGAGGTCATTCAGATTCAGGACTTCATGGTCGATGTTCACGTATTTGATGGTTGGTCACTAACTGAAGTACTGTGGAAACTGAATATAGGGTGATGAAATCTTGTGGCATAGTAATGTAAGACCTTGTTACCAATTGCAGTTTCAAATTTTAGTATTTATCTTTGTTCTCCTTTTACCTTGAGAATTCTGAGATAACCCCTTTTTACAAGCCTCTAGTTGGTTGTTTCCAGTTTTTTTCTTTTATTTTTGTGCTTTAATAATGTCCTCTATATTTTTAATTTGTGTTTTCTTGCGGTGATGCTTATAGGCCTTTATGAAGGTGGTGTCTGGAAAATCCGTGTTGAGCTTCCTGATGCATATCCTTACAAGTCTCCTTCTATTGGGTTTGTGAACAAGATATTCCACCCAAATGTTGATGAGCTGTAAGTAATGATGATGCAACTGCTGTGCTGCAAATGGTTTAGATTTTTTATTGTTTCTAATTTTGTGATCCTTCAGCTGAGCTTTGCCATTTTTTCTTTATCAATAACAGTTCTGGTTCTGTATGCTTGGATGTGATCAACCAGTCATGGAGTCCAATGTTTGGTAAGCATCATATATCATATGCTAAATAAAGCATTATATATTGTTTACTTAGGTTGCACATTCTAGGTGGAGGGTCTACATGCATTATTTTCTCATTGTATATGGACCATCCACATGTACTGTTTTTGTCGATTGTTTCTTTTGATCTTGATTTTCACCTTAGTTCCTTACATATATGGTCACTGTTTCTGCAGATCTTTTAAATGTTTTACATATATGGTCATTGTTTCTGCAGATCTTTTAAATGTTTTTGAAGTTTTTCTGCCACAGCTCTTGATTTATCCAAATCCTTCAGACCCCCTCAATGGTGATGCAGCTTCATTGATGATGAAGGATAAAGAACAATATGATCAGAAAGTAAAAGGTGAAAATTATCTGGAATCATTTTTTTTATTCCCCCAACCAAAAATAATAATAATAAGAATAATCAAGATTGTAGAATTTTCATCCTTGTCTATTCACATTCAAGTTCACAAAATTGAAACGTAATGGAGTTTTGGGTAATTATAGTATCCAACACATAATTATGTAAGTTCATTGATAGTATCCATGAGTTTGCAAGCATGCTTGCCATTCATGTGAAAAGGGAAGTTTTAGATCAAGGTGATTAAGTTATTTAAGGCAACAATGAGTGATCTATCACCTATCCGTAGGCAGCAGAGGAGCAGCCTATAGAATGAGAATACTCGAGTTACACGATCTTTTATCCTTGAGTTTCCTGAAAAGGGTTCGTCTGGTGATGGTGGTGTTGATTGCATTACGGAACATGAACCATGTGACCATTACTATGGTGCCTAGGGATCTATGTTTTTGCCTGAGATGGATAGCAGATGCTTCCAGGGATGTTGAATTAGCTTAAGAGAAATCTTCGACCATTGGCTGTTTGTTTTCAACTGAACTACTGGAGTTTGTTGTAGTAATTTATTACTAATAACACATCTAAGGCTAATAGAATAATAAGGTGAGGTCTTTTCATACTAGGGCTGCTCAATGGTTCGGTCTCTCGGTTTAGGAATGAGAGATGTAATTATTTTCGGTCTTATTTGTTGAACAGAGTATTGTGAACGATATGCAAAAAAGGAGCATCTTATGAACTCCACAGCTGAAGAGGAGAGTGACGAGGAGGATGTCACTGATGAAGAAAGTGGATCAAGTGATGAGGAAGATGAAATTGCTGGACATGTAGACCCATAATGTTTTTTGCAGAAGGGTTTTTATTTACCATCTTCGAATTAAACCCCCGTATAAGATAGACAATCGACCTCTATTATATGTTCTCTCTTCAACGATGTTCTAGTTCTACAGCTACCTTCAATTTGATTGTTTAATCGTTAATCATGTAGCTCATCCTTCCCAGAGTAAGCAAGTAGTTGGCATGAATTATTTGATTTGAAAACATGGAGACTCATCTAGGAAATGGTCAGAGAAAATTGACAGTCTGATGATTCAGATAATACTCCCACATCTCTATTATTATTATTCTGAATGACCATGCTCTGTTTGCCGTTTATTTCAGGACTGCATGTTAGAACCATGTAGGCAAATTCTACAACGCCTCTGTCCTGCCTTCCAAACATGACACATGGATTTAGCAGCTTAGGTGATAAAACGAGGAAAACCCGGTTGCCAGTATCTATATTAGTAAAGAGAATTATTATTGGTGGCTAATTAGTTCCTACTTCGTAGACGTGGAAAAAATAAAAAACAATTAACTGCAATTTTAGCATCTAACTTTTTATTTGTTGTTTAGTCATGAGAGTAGGAAATTCTGATGTGTTTGGAATGAATTATTAGATGACAATTTCATTTCAAACACATAAGCATTTCATATTCTCATGTATTCTCATGTAACCGTGGACATTCAAATAGAAAAAAAAAATCAAAATTTGAGCATTGAAATGAAAAAATTTACTGGTAGAGCATCGAAATAAATAAAAAAAATCAAAGGTTGCATATCAAAATTGTAGTTTTCTTAAGAAATTTGTTATCTTGAGATTGTAAAATTAGTCTAATAATTTTTATTTAGTTGCGTTATCAAAATAAAAGAATTTACCGGTTAGGCACTTAAAAAAAAGGCATTTAATTTATTTACAAATAATTATGAATGAAAAGTTATATCTAAGATTTTAGCAATTTACTAAATTTTTATTCACGTGCAATTTATGTAGCAATACTATTACTCACTGCATCAAAAAATTTCAATGACATCGTTTTTGTGAAAAATTAAAATAAGTCCAATGCTCCTAAATTAATTTTGATGGCTGCCGAATTAGACTCCTTACAAGCTCAAGGCCGAAACTCTAAGTAAATGGAAAACCCTAGGTTTGATTGATCTTGGAAATTTTTTTGACAAACTCCACTACAATCTTGTTAAGTGATGTACTATATAATTTTGGCAAGGTTAAAAGTCTTGCTACATTATTGGTTAGTTGGTTGGTTGATAGCACCATGATGAATGATCAAATAAAGATATAAAACAAAACCCTAAGTAATGCACAATGATTCAAGTTATTTAGAGAAACGTCTTCGCAGTTTATTAATCAATATTCAAGTGTATTTCTCTACAACGTATATGACTCTATTTATACTAGTTAGGATCGGCCATACAAAGAACAATTGTCCTTGTAAAAATTCATTCACATTTATATAAGATAAAACTAAAGAAAAACTTATTCAACATGAACTAAAAAACTCTAATCTTACCTTTTTTATATGACTACTAATCAAAATCAAATATAAAATTCTAAAAGCACATAGACTTATTGTTACAATCAAACTTTGATTTAGGCCAATTGATCCAAAAAGATTAAGCTAATGCAAAAGATAACCCAAACCCAAAAGGTAATCTAAAAACCTTCACCAAATTCAACCTATGCAGAAAAGAAATCCTTTTGCCTAGATGATCATGACTTTCAGTCTAGATGAGATTCTTGGGACCACACTTTATGTCCTTCAAGGATTTAATTGAAACTACGTGTTAAATTAGTGGGTTCCATAATCATTCACTAATTTCACATGTGTGGTTTTAGTTGAGTAATTACTAATTTTTTTGCCCGCGCTATACTCGTGGATATGATAAATTATATAACATCATTTAGAAAAATTATTTTAATTTAATAGTCTCGTTTATGGTGTGAATATATAAAAATATATGAAATCAAAAGCGAAAAAAATATTTTAAATTTTTTAATGTAATTTGAAATTCAATGGATGAGAATTTTTTAAAAATGATAAATTAAAATAGTAAATTTTAAATAATAAAAATAATCAATAAAAAATATTAAAACAAAATGGGATCAAACCATAATATAGTTAAAGTTTGAAATTAAAAACAATATTGTATAAAAAAATTGAGGGCTATATAATTTTAAATTAATTGGATGAGAAAAGAATGAATAATATTAAAATAAATGAAAACTATCATTAAATGTAATTTTAAATTAATTAGATGAGAATTTGAAAAAACGACAAATTAAAGTTATCAATTTTCAATAATAAAAATAATTAAAAAAATTAAAACAAATGGGCTAAATCATAATACAATTAAAATTTAAAATTTTTTAAAAACAATTGTGTAGAAAATATATATATAAAGAAAAAAAAAAAAGACACACACATCTAATACACACACACACACACACAAACACTATTTTAAAAAATAAAATATTAACGTTCTAAAATTTTAATTCAAAATTCATATATTAAAAAAATAAATTTATTAACAAATAAAATCATCTAAAAAAATTAAGTTGATGTAAATTTTAATAAGAAATAAATAATTAAAAAAATTAAATAATAAAATAAATATAATTAGATATATACTCTCTCTCTATATATGTATATAAATGTATATATGTTAAAAATATTTAAAACTCATTTAAAAAGTCAATATATATATATATATATATATATATATATATATATATATAGTATATGTATATATATATGGGACGGCGCTTGGTTGCAAGCCAACCGAACGGGCGCCGATTGGCTTGTGCAACCGAGCCGCACATTATTATTAAAAAACAAAAAGGGTAAAAAGCGGGGAGGCTAGGCTTTGGCTCGTGCGGACGAGCCTACACCGAGCCTTGCCTACGGACTGAAAAAAAAAAAAGTCCTACAACTTCCGGCGAACTTGAGGTTGCTTGGAAGTTCACCGAAAAATCGAGGGTTAACTTTCGGACTCCTAGAAATTGAATTCCGACATCATTTTTTTCTTAAAACACCTTTAAATAGTCGGAATAAAGCCAATAAACACATCTAAAATCTTAAAAATCATTTTACTATATACAAAATAAAGAAAAATGCAAAATCAAATCGGATTTTTTTTCCTTTTTTGGCTCCGATCTATCTCCTTTAATTATTTAATGGCTTGAAACCACTATGAACAAACTCATCTCTCAAAGATAAACAAATCTAGTGGATTTTCGTCGGTTAGAGTGACCTAAATGAGTTTGGCCGACGATATCTCTCTCTCTTTTCCTCTCGGCCTTCTCTTTCCATTCGGGGACCAAAATGGATGAGCAAATGAATATGTGGATCAAAATATGCGTTCGATTATATCAAGAACCAAAATGTAAAAAAATTTATGAATAGTGAAAGTAACAATGAATTGTAAGAGAGTGAATAGTAAAATGTGAGTGTGTGTACGAGTGTTTCAAATAATGTAGCTACGAGTAACCATTCGTTTTCTTTTAGTTTATTAGTTAATAGGATCACTAATTTCACAAGTATAACTTGAGTCTATTTTTGTTTTTTAGGTTAGATATTTTTAGTGGTGATTTAGACACTTGTTAACTATTAGTTGCTTTTTGGGAAAAATCAAATAACATGCATGAAGAATTATAAACATAGAGATGAATTGAGAATTTTTGACAGGCACACGACTGGGCAAAGAAAAAGAAGAAGAAGATATATTGGAGCAAATAGAAAGGAAGAGAAAGAAGGAAAAACATAATTTTTATGTTACAAAACTTTGAATCAGCTATACGTGATTAGCAAATAATTGTTAATTATCATTTCAAGGTTTCTGAATCTTATATATATAATACTTGATATTTATGTGTTTGGATTCTATTAGTATGTGGGTTGTAGAGAAAACATAGTTTTGTAATGTAATTTGGACTAATTTTTTATTTATTAAAATACTTAAATGAGTTTTTTTGAAAGTATATCTTCAATCGAGTAAAGCTGACTGGTCCTTCAAATTCAGTAGAGACGAAGGAGGGTTGAAGAATCAATAAATATGAAAACTATAATTCTACCCATGAAGTTTTCTAAATTGCAATGAACCCGATTCTTAGTTGTTTTCTCTTTTTTCTTTTGATATACGCCCATAGTCCCATGCAATCATTCTTGGCTTCCATATGTGATATAACTCAATCGATTAAGCGGCAAAGCTAGCAAACTATTTTTATTAAAAAAAATTCATAATAAATAAATGAGTATATTACTTTAAACACCTTGTAGTTAAATACAGAAACACTTTGCATCTTTATTTATTTTTTATAAATTGTACTCTACACTCTATATGTTAAAAATAATATTGTAATTTCATTAATAGTCTCAAATTTCTAGTTAAAAAACCGTTCAAATTATTATAAATTTACTATTAAAATTCGATAATGGCCGAATGCTTTTTGGAAGTATTTATACATTAACAAAAGAAATTAGTCATTTGAGATATGACATCTGATATTTGAACAAAGCTATTTAATGCCTAAAATTAAAGACCAAACTCATGCATTTCAAAATAAAAACAAAATCCAATTCATTCTTAATTGCATCACAACAGACTAAGCAGAAAACTCAATTAAACAACTCTTGCGACTGTAAAAGAAACCCCATATAACAAAACGCAAAAAACAAGTAGCAATCCTATTCTGCATCGATACACTATCGACTAATAGATTCTCATTTATTTCATAATTGTCAATTTGCAACATTACAATATAGTAGCAGCAACCTATCTAATAATTGAAAAAATTAATTTCTACGGACTCATGTTACCATGGTGCTCTTTATATTGGTCAATCAAATCCTTTTTCTCTTAATGGAGCTTTTTTTCTAAGAAGTTCTAAAAAAGTCCTTGAAATTCTGAACAATATTCCTTGTAAGATCCTGATCGACAAAAAAAAGCAGCAACGGGTTCACAATGCCTGATGAAAAGAGAACATTTCAATTCTCTAAGAAAG